ATATATATATATATATATATATATATATATTCTAAATATGTTCATTATTAGCTATTTGTCAGTTTTTAAATGTTAAACAACTTGCAAATTTGCAATGCAAAACTGGTGAGACTCTTGCAGGAGCATGATTTAACAAAATATGGCATTTTGTCATCATTTTCTCACCCTCGTGTCACCACAAACTTGTGAAATGTAAATTAAGATATTTCTGTTCTCAAAATGTTTGTCCATAAAACAGAAATCAATAGTAACCAATACCGTTTCTTCAAAATATTCTCTTTTTTGTTCCACAGAAGAAACGAAGTTGTACAAAGTTCGCTCAAAGTGATTTAGATTTTCCATTGTGTACATTGGTGTTCTGATTTGATCTGAGGTGGCCTTGAAGCTTTAAGAACCATTCACCTAGAAGAAGGAAGATGAGTCTAAAGCATATATTTAAACAAGTTGGACATTTGTTGCTGTTTGTTAACATGTCTTTACATTAAGAGTGAAAAACGACAGTCTTACGAAGCAAGGCTTCAGGGTACAGGGGGATGTAAACAGAAGGAGTTTACATTCAGCAAAGGTGCTCAGCAGAGCCGGGTTGAGTCGAGCATCTGCTCTCATTTTGGAGTTCGTAGAGAGCCGTGCTGCTTGCGGCCCAAAGAAGGCAACGAGCCAGTGTGTGAGCTTAAGGGGGTTAAGGCCACACACAAACGCACACACACACACACAGTAACTGAGAGAGAGAGTGAGCACTGCAAAGTGTGATCGGCTCTTCACTGCTTGCTCTGCCATGTTAGCTGGAGTTACACTGTGCCAACTGGGCCAGGATGAGGGATTGTGTATGACATGCACGGCTGTCCGGCGTTTAGCCGTTCAGAGTATGTGTGTGTGCTGAGAGTTATCTACACATACACTGCTTACATCTAAATATTCTGTCGGCTTTCACACACACCAGGTACCAAGAGGCTGATAACGATGTCTGGCAGGTGCCAACTGGATAGTGGGATAATCGGTCCAATCTTCATCCCCTTGAAACTGCGTGTGGGTTTTAGGAAGGAAGGCACAAATACGCAGTTGGCCAGATTGTTAGTCTGTATCTGTGAAAACTGAAGAAGATTTGACTCATTCTGTTCAAACATCACATATTCTCACTTCCTCGCCCTCAGCTGATCTCTACTTGGTGTCCAGTTGATTTTGAGCTCTAATTGAGAGATACGGTACATGAGAGTGGGATCAGGCGGAGGGAAGGATCGGGGAGAGATAGCGCGAGCGGATGAAAGCCAGTGGCCCAGCAGGGAGCTTCCATCTCTTTATCTTTTCTATCTATGTTCTGACTGCCTCATTCATATCGAAGTGCAGCAATATCAATAAGTACATGAACTCACCTACTTTGAACTCATCACATTGTAAGGGGCATTCAGCCAACGCTAAGATAGTATAACATGAGATGATAACAGCTATGATTCTTAATCGTTCAGTAAAGTCATTCCACTTTCTTCTGAGACAGCTAAAAGGAAAGAACTTGAGCAAGCGTTTTGGGGGAGAGAATGAGAGGGTTCTTTAAACCTCGTAGTTGGACATTCGGTACTTAAAGAGATTCAAAAATTTAAATCCTGTCATCATTTTCTCATCCTCATGTCATTCCAATTCTGTATGGATTTCTTTGCTCTGTGAAGCACAAAAGAAGATATTTTGAAATATGTTGGTAATCAAAAAGTTTTGGGTACTATTGAATTGTTTGTCCATAAAATGGAATTCAATGGGAACTGAACAATTTTTGGTTACCAGTATTCTTCAAAATATCTTATTTTACATTCCACAGAAGAAAGAAAGTCATACAAGTTTAAATCAAAATTAAATCAATTTGAATTTGTAAGTGGACGATCCCTTTCCCATTCCCACCACCAGTCGTAGCAGGTTTGCTTCATGTTATAAACGTTAAATCAGCCGTTATTCCACAATATTAAACATTCTGAAGGAAAATAGGTGTTAAACAAATTGCACCTGTGCATAATGCATTACTTTAAAGATAAATGAAAAGAATCAATGCTTGCTCTTTGCCATCACATCCATCTATCTAAAGTGCACAAATACAGGGTATTCTAGATTCAAATACATAATTGTCACTGCAAAACGTGCCACATAGATTGGAAACAGCTCATTGTTGGATTAACTTGTCCATTAGACACAAGCCTTCCATTTAACCATGAAAAACCACTATCTTGGTATCTATAGCACTTACACAAAAACACGCAACATGGCTCATAGCTTCTCCACCATTTTTAACCAAATCATTTATCAGAAATGAATCATCTGACATCCAAACTTCTTTCATGTATTCTCATGCATGATTTATGGAAAGCTCAGACAGTAAATAACAACGCATACTGTATGTTGGTCTGTTCCTCACATGCACATGAAATATAGTTCAGGTGGACTTTTAAGATACGTTTGCATCTTTTTTTGAGGTTTGTCAGTCACCATCCATTGTTCTTACACTCTTCAGAATATGTTAACCAGCAGAGAAAAGTCGTACAGGTTTGGAGCAGCATGAGTTGTGAATAAATGATGACAGAATTTTCATTTTTGGATGAACTATCCCTTTAAGTGCATAGCAGCAAAATAGTCAACCTAAGAGAGCCAAAACACTGAATATTCTGCTGTAAATTGAGTCAATAGCACACTGCTTTCCCTGCTGAAACACTATGTAGTGCTCTGTGCCTTCTCTGACCTTAACAGAGCATAATACACTAATTGCGGCTACACCATTAGCCATTTCTGGCATGTTCTGCAACTGCTGATGATGCATGACCTTATGCGTCGCTGTCAATAGCCGGAAGGGAAATAGGTGCAGAGGGTCCGATTCACCAAGAGCGCGCTCTCATAGATGGACAGTGCCGGAATGCCGTCTCCTTAAACCAGACCGTCAGGGACTGTAAAGCCTGTTTCTCAACAATCTAGCTTTCAAACCCACAAAACTGCAAAGCGGACGCGAGAGACAATTGCAAACTAGAAAAAAAAAGTGTCCGGCGCGTCCTTTTGGCGTTCCGCTCAAGCGCCAGAAATAATAAGGATGATGAAACCAGCGAGAGAGATCCACATTACCACGACTAAGATCACACGGCAGGGTCAGTTTAATCAAAAGGGTTTGTCAGTGAAGCGACATGGTTGTTTAGTTGCATTTTCAGCATTCATACAAGTGTAGAAAAACAGCCGGGGACATAGACGCGTGCTGGCAAAAGAGCGCAGAGCTTGACATATAAATGTAAGATCTTACCTGCGCTGAACAGCCTGTTCATTTCCCGAAGGAAACTTTTATTTCCCTCGGGGAGCACCTTCCAAACGCGACGTCGATACTTTTCTTAAGATAACTGTCAATTCCTTTAAATATATAGCATCGCACGTGAAAGCAACGGATAGCGGATAAAATGCCGAACGCAGAGAGATAATAAGCACTGAATGGAGAGTCAGTTAGACGATGACCGTCCGTAGGGATCCCGCTGTCTTAAAATGCGCACACGGCGAAACACGGTAAGATCGCGAGTCTCTACAACCTTCTGCATTGATTAAGCGAAATAGAGGCGCGCGCGAGGGAGATCGGACGCTACCATTCACGCTGAGGGACAACTGACCGACGCCTCAAGCATCTGTCCGAGCGGATAAACATTAGAGCTGATGGGACTTATGAGCCTTCGAATCGCATTAAACCTAAGAGAATGATTCAACTGTAATTTCCGTAAGGAGCACTGTATATGCTCGCTCCTCAGGTACATGCCCTGCATGCGGGTGCACCTGCTTGAGATGTGAGGAGAATGAAAATTAGCTCTCTCTTTTTTTCTTTTGGAGTGTGAAAAGCATCTGTAATACCATATTCAGAATTATTTGGATTCAGTTATTCATGCAAGGCATAACGCAGTTTACAGTGAGCTTATCATTATCTCACACACACAAAAAAAAACAAACAAAAAAAAAACGAGAAAGGGTGATCATCTGGCTGTACATTATCCATAAGCAAACAAATGCAAATGAAATATTGGTCTGAAGTGAAATCTGTCTTCGGTGTTCTTGTATAGACCAAGAAAGGATGAGAGGTTATACAGACTTACCATGGACAACAACCATTATTCAAAGCCACATATGACCAATCAGAATCAAATATTAGTGAATTCAGGTCAAATATATTCTCTTTTTTGCTATTAGGATGACTGAGGGATAAAAATCATTTTAAAAATGCCCATTTCAGTGGCGTAACTTTTTTTGAAAAGTGGTGGGGACACCGCGCAACACGTTTTGCTAGTTTTTTATTTAATAATCTAATTTACTTGGGGACTGGGTTTAGAGTTGGACAAACTCGAGTCGAAAATTTTTGCTTTTCAAAAATACATCGATGTACCAGGGGCGGCGCCAGAGAATTTTGAACGCAGGTGCTGAGGGGGTGCTAGATCACTGACAGAGGGAGCTGGGCAAATTCAGGGCTCCAGACTCATTCTTCCCACTGGTCGCTCTTTTGCGATTAACTTTCTCAGTTGGTTGCACCAGCACCTTTTTTTTTGCCTTACAACATGCTGTTAATCAATGCACGCTGATGAACTTTTATCGTAGTTTATACACTCTTAAAAATAAAGGTGCTTCAAAAGGTTCTTCACAGCGATGCCATAGAAGAACCATTTTTGGTTCCACAAAGAACCGTTCAGACAAAGGTTCTTTAAAGAACCATCTCTTTCTCACCTTTTAGTAATCTGAAGAACCTTATTTTGCCACAAAGAACCTTTTGTGAAACAGAAAGGTTCTTCAGATGTTAAAGGTTCTTTATGGAACCATTTAGACAAAAAGGTTCTTCTATGGCATCGTGAAGCACCTTTATTTTTAAGAGTGTAGTTATAAACGAAAGTAGTTAACATTCAACCCGTTCTTTTTTATCAGTAGTATTATTTGTGATTTGAATTTTGTGAATGGGAGTTCCTCTTTTGACATGTTATAAGCTTGGCTTCGGATGCTTTCACTTTCGATTTAACGATCTTGTCAGGTTTTTACAATGAAATATAATTAATCGTGAAGCACCTTTATTTTTAAGAGTGTAGTTATAAACGAAAGTAGTTAACATTCAACCCGTTCTTTTTTATCAGTAGTATTATTTGTGATTTGAATTTTGTGAATGGGAGTTCCTCTTTTGACATGTTATAAGCTTGGCTTCGGATGCTTTCACTTTCGTTCATTATTTAATTATTCATTATTTAAAATGAAAATGCACAACAACAATAAAACAGTATTCAATGACAAACTAGCTGGACTTGTCCCACCCGTCCCACCCGCAAATTACGCCTTTACAGAGAGGCGTGTAATAATTTAATAATACAGCATTTCAAATCTATTAATTTTTACTGTTTCTGATCCCATACTGGCCTATTCACTTCATGCTTATAATTACTGAATAAAAAAAAAAAATGGGGAAAAATGCGGGGGAATAAAATCATGATTTCTCTTCTCTGTCTCTATTAGCAGCAATTCTGAATAAACACTATTAACCAAATGCACCATAATCCCAAGACTTAAACTTGTATCATTTGCAGCCTTCTTCAGCAATGTCAAGGCCAAATTGAGTTTATGGAGGTTTTTCACCTGTTGAAGTGAGTTGTGTGAAAGTCCTTTCACTAAAGTCTTTTTAGCACAAGTCAGTCATGATCAATAATTTCCACCTCATACCTGACATGTAATTTTAGGAGGGTACAGTATGTCACAAATGGGGAGAGGGTGTATTGCTCTGCACACAAACAAGGTGACTGAAATTTGGTCTTTCAGTCCCACAAATTTGACACTCTGATTAGCGCATTTATGCACCTGCAATGACATTACTTTGAATAGGCACGAGAACAGGGCAGAATGAAAATGGGATGCAATTACAGCCCATAACCAGGGAGTCATTGTTGAGCGTTTCTGCGTTATTCAATGCCAAACGAAGATCTACTGCATATTTCCCTATAGGCTGGGAACATTACAGCTCGATTATTTGAGAACACCTTGTTAAAAAAAAAACCCATGACTGCTCTTTGAAATGTGCATTTCATACATTTCTTACACTCTACGGGTGATTGTCTGATTTGGTTATGACACAGCGTGTGTTCCGTCTTGAGATTTGTTTGGAGACAAAGATGGGGAGGCATTCAGTTTTGTCCATGTTGGCTTGTGCTCCCCACCTGCAACTAGAAAGATAGAGGCCAGTGAGAGGGAAACTGTTTTGTACCAAGCTGTGATTCTCAATGAGGTTATTCTCTCTGCTACAAACCAACACTGCTCAGCATGGAGTTGTTTTCCTTGTCCCACAACCAAGATCAGTCGGCTTTAATCCATGGTTCAGTCGGTATTCGTCTCAAAGATACAATTTCAGCATTGCCACAATACTGACCATTTGTCCTCACACAAACCCACCTTTAGCTTTTGTTACAAACTGTTGATTTGCCTGTGATTCAGAGAAAGTAAAAGAGTGGAAGTAAAAGAGAGAGCGAGGCATGAGTTAGTGTGAAGGTGCCAGCTGGCACTTGCACAGTCTAAAGAAGCAGATCCACTCAATTCTCACTCAATAGCGCAGAGAATATGGAATATATGGATTTGTATATACTACAAAAAAGCTGTTCTTTTAACTTTTCATTCATAAAAGAATCCTGAAAAACATATCAGAGGTTAAAAAAATTAAGCAGCACACCTCTTTCCAACACTGATAATAAATTGGCATATTAGAATGATTTCTGAACACTCTAAAAAATGCTGGGTTAAATATAATAGGGACAAACCCAGCAATTGGGTTGTTTTGACCCAGCGGTGGAGTTACTACCCAGAAGGTTGGGTCAAAACAGCCCAATTGCTGGGTTTTTCCCTATTTTACCCAGTACTGGGTTGAATTTAACCCAGCATTTTTTAGAGTGAAGGATCATTTGATACTTTAGATTGGAGGTGGCTGAAAAATGGCTCATGAAAATGTAGCTTTGCATCACAGGACTAAATTATTAAAGTATATTATAACAGAAAAATGTTATCTTAAATTGCGATAATATTTCACAGTATTACTGTTTTTTTCTGTATTTTTTTATCAAATAAATGCAGCCTTGATGAGCATAAGAAATGTCTTTAAAAACATAAAAAATGTTACTGATCTCAAATCTTTGAAAGACACTGTATATATATAACTCGTCAAAAAAAAGCTTTACAGATCTTTATTAGAAAGTGTTTAAACAATGTTTTCCATGCTTCTTCGATGAATTAAAAATTTTATTGCACATGCACCTTTGGAAAAGTTTGCAAGTTTACAGGCAGTATAAAATAGAGCCTGACCGATATATTATTTAGCCGATATTATCGGCTGATATGAGCCTGTCGATATATGCCGCCGATATGAACTTTTTTTTTTACAGAACATATAACGCAGATTAAATGCTTCTGAATGGTGTAATTACTTAGTTTGTCCAGCAGAGCGCGCTCCATTGTTTGCTACTGGCGACCCAGGTCAGTGTAGTGTAGAGATGCGCGGATGAGCTCAAACTTCACCCGAGTCCACTGCTTCAAATTATCCGCTGCCACCCACCCGCACCTATCTTTGATCGTCACATTACAATTATTCTAATTCTTAGTTTTGCACGATGATATGATAAATGGATGGCTCATTTTTAACAGCAGATTCAGTGACGTTAGAGACTAGAGCTGATCTGCGCATCCCGGCACGCGTCTGCGGTGTATTAAAGCCTGTGTTAAGGCCACCGGAGCTGATCGTGGCTGGACTGGTGTTTATACCGGCCATGATCAATAATTAAGTTTATAAATAAGTTTATACCGTGTTTATACTCATGCTTATCACATCATGCGGCGTGCCTTCGGTGTATGTTGTCTACACTAGATGCAGTAAACTGATGCCTCGTTCTATTTATGACGTGCTGACACAAAGTTCAAATGATTTTCAATGGTCGCTTTGTCGCGTTCTGTTGCAGCGCAGACACGGTGTCAGCATAGTTTGTCAGTACAATCAGTAACGTAGCAGATTAAAAAGTTAGTATCTTTCTGCAGTCCAATAGACGGCAGTGCCGTGGTGGTTTGAGTCTGTTAAATGGTGATTTAACACTACGTTGTCACTTAGTTGGAGAGACTCAATGCTAAGTAAATAAACAACAATGTCCCCGTCTTTTACTCTCACAATGAGCTTATCATATTCGTTTGCTACATTAGTAGGGCCCTATGATTTCCGCGATGCAGAAAACATGAACGGAATCGCGAAATCCAGTCATAAACAATGGAATTTACTGTATAACGTGGAATTTCATGGAATTTGTCTTATTTTTGATGAATAAATAAAAAACAGGTCAGTACATATATATATATATACAGTATATATATATGTATATATATATATATATATATATATATATATAGACTGTGTCTGTCAATATTAAACTGCAAAAAGTCCAATACCAAAGTTAAATACCAATGTTCTGCATGTTCATTTGATTACCAGAAAATACACAACACAGAGTTTGTGAAAAAAAAATGTTATTAATTATTATTATTTATTCTGTTTACTGTTGGTTTGGCAGTATCTTGCTTGCCCTACACAGTTACCTTGTTTAATTTCTTAATTCAAG